TATGCAAAACATCTAAAACTTAATCGTGAAAGATTCAAATTCTTATGCACCCACACTTAAAGTTGGTCAACACTACTTATTTTTGGAAAATTAGACAAAAGCGACAATAAAGAATACATTTTTGTAATCATAGATGCTTTCACTAAATTTGTTATTTTACACCGTATTCGATGGCTAACTGCTACATCTGTTCTTAATTATCTTAAGAGAATTTATTCACTTGTTTGACTGTCCTATGGTCATGTTTAGTAAAAAGTAAATTGATAGGCAAAGGAATGCACTGGGTAACGCCCCTGTGAACGGAACAAAACTGAAAGCCCGGGAAGCAACTAGATCATTCAATTGATGAAAACAGCCAAAGCCGTGTGGCTTTTATTATTATTATTGTTATTATTGTTTTGATAGAAAAGTAGTGAATAGGTTGCTAGGGCTGACAGTGGCGGACCGTTAGTTCCTATTTTATAACTTGTATGACAGCTCCCGTATTTGTAATAAATAGTGTCACGTCACCCGTGTATTATTTCTATGGAGACAACGGAGTAAACTAATTCCCATGTCCACCAAGTGTCTCCGACATATATTAAAATAAAACTCATCATATTTGTTGTTTATTTTTATTATAATTTTTCACAAAAAAACAATAATACCTAATGCTAACTATAAATATGTATTTTATAATAATGATTAAACAAAGTCTGTCTTATTTATCCAAGAATTTTGGGATGCTGGAAGTCCAAGCCACTTGCAAAAAAATAAAGTATTGTTATTTTTTTTCTTTTTCTTCAATATTGACTGTACTAAATATACATTGGGATATTTAGTTTTCAACAATTCCCACTCATAAAAACATCCTTTGATTGGTTGACCTTGCATATCTTCTAACGCATACGTTGTTGGATTTGTTATATTTACTTTAATCACTTTGAATAGCTCTGTTGAAAAATTTGCTGTGAAACCTTTTTCAAAAGTATTTTTAAATTTGCTAATTCGAATGATGTCTCCTAAACTGAATTTTGGTTTCAGGGCAACTTTTGGGTGGTTATACACTTTCAATACTGTGGATGGTTTTACATCGATGGGTTTCATACCAGTAGTACGGTGAACTCTATTATTATACGAACTTATAATTTTTGGTAGAATATCAATCCACACATAATTACCTCTAGCTGAAAACTCTTTATATATCCAAGTTTTCAAAGTTCTTATAGTCCGTTCGACAATTGCGGCCTTTTTTGTGCTAAATGTAGAATAATGATTTATCTTATGCAGCTGCATGAGTTTGGAGAATTGTCGATTATAAAATTCAAGTCCATGATCGCTCTGCAGATTGCGTGGGTAATAACCAGCGTCTAGAAAAATTTTTTTCATTGCATCAGAAACTTGGTCAGCTGTTTTTTTCTTTAGCGGCTTCGCCCACACATATTTAGAATAACAGTCAATTACTATAAGTATATATCGATAACCTTTATTTTTTTTTGCAAAGTTTTGCATTTCTGCCAAGTCTATTTGGAAAAGATCTGCATACCCCTTAATGATTGTTCTCCTCCTGCAAAAGTTTCTTCGTGCCGGTTTGTGTAATTCGTTGACAATTTGTCGTTTTGTGTCACTAATGAACATTATGATTCAAGTTTACTAATAGAACAGTGCGTACGTAAATGTTCCCCGTTCTTTTTTGGAATGTCTTATCACAACTAATGG